TCCATACTGCAGATGTAGTCTTTCATCTTCACCAGTGAGCACTTCAAGTCATCTTCACTTTTAGCAAGTAAGGTTGTGTCACCTGCATATCGCAGGTTGCTAATGAGCCTTCCTCCAATTCTGATGCTGTGTTCTTCTTCACATAGTCCAGCTTCTCAGATTATTTGCTCAGTTATTTAAACCATGATTCTAAACCATGATTTTAAACCATGCAATATCCCCTTGTTTTGTTGGAACAACAGCCTCCTGGTCTATGTACAGGTTCCTCATGAGCACAATTAAGTGTTCTGGAATTCCCATTCGTCTAAATGTTATCCATAATTTGTTATGATTCACGCTGTCAAATGTTTTTACAAAACATCATTCTGGTATTCTTTACTTTCAGTTAAGATTCATCTGACGTCAGGAATGATAGACATCCTTTAGTCCATGTCCTCTTCTGAATACAGCTTGCATTTCTGGAAGTTCCCTGTCAATATATTGATGCAACAGTTTTTGAATTATTTTCAGCATAATTTTACTTGCGTGTGATATTAGTGATATGTTTGATAATTTCCACATTCTATTGGATAATTTTCTTTGAAATAGGTACAAATATGGATCTTTTCCAGTCAGTTGGCCAGGTAGCTGTCTGCCAAATCTCTTGTCATAACCAAGTGAGTGCCTCCTGAGTGGCATCCATTTGTTGAATCATCTCAATGGGTATTCCATCAATTCCTGGAGCCTTGTTTTTTTGCCAGTTTCTTCAGTGCAGCTTCAAATTCTTCCTTCAATACCATTGTTTCTTGATCATATGCCATCTCCTGAAATGGATGAAAATCAGCTAATCCTTTTTGGTACAGTGACTGTGTATTTCTTCCATCTTCTTTTGATGTTTCCAGCATCATTCAATATTTTGCCCACAGAATCTTTCAATATTGCAACTCGAGACTTGACTTTTTTCTTTAGTTCTTTCAGCTTGAGAAATGCCAAGCGTGTTCTTCCCTTGTAGTTTTCTAATTCCAGGTGTTTGCACATTTCTTTATAATAACTGACTGTCTTCTCAAGCTGTTCTTTGAAATATGTTCAGCTAATTTTTCTTGTCATTTCTTTCATTTACTTTAGCTACTCTCTGTTTAAGAGCAAGTTCAGAGTCTCTTCTAATATCCATTTTGGTCTTTTCTTCCCCTGTCTTTTCAATGACCTTTTATTTTCTCCATGTATAATGTTCTTGATGTCACCCCACAATTCTTCTGGTTTTTGGTCATTCATGCTCAATAGGCCAAATCTGTTCTTCAGATGGCCTCTAAATCCAGTAGGCATATAGTCAAGGTCATGTCTCAGCTCTTGGACTTGTTTTAATTGTCTTCAGCTTCAACTTGAACTTGCAGATGAACAATTGATGGTCTGTTCCACAGTCAGCTTCTCGTTTTGGCTGAAGATAGTGAGCTTCTCTATTACCTCTTTCCACAGGTGTGGTTTATCTGATTCCTGTGTATGTCATCTGGCAAGTTCCACATGTATAGCTGCCCTATATGTTGTTGAAAAAAGGTATTTGCAAGGAATAAGTCTTTTGTCTTTCAAAATTCTATCATGTGATCTCCAGCATCATTTCTACCACCAAGGTCATATTTTCCAACTACCAGTGATTCTTTTTTGTTTCCAACTTTTGCATTCCAATCACCAGTAATAATCAATACATCTTTATTATTATTATTATTTGGGTGAAGATTTACAGAGCAAATTCACTTTCCATACAGCAGTTCACATATACTTTGTCTCATGTCATTGACCACAGTTTACCACAATGCA